AGGAGTGTCTCTGACAACCCTTTTGTGCCTGAACAATTTCTTGTTTCTGCGGTATGGGTGGTGGATGGGAAGAAATCGACGGTGACAATCGAACCAACTAGTCTTCCTACCATGCTTCAACTGAAACGCATATGTCATTCCATTACAATATGGACAAGCTAATCTTCCATGTGTAGTCCACCCAGACAACATACCATATGCAGAAAAGTCACTTATGGTCCACAAAAGCATCGCTCGCATCGTAAAGTTTGTTTTCGTTGAACAATCATATGTCATCACCCCTGTTGACCACAAATCTTTCAACTCTTTTATCAGTGGTTGTAGAAAAACGTCGATAGATCTTTTTGGATGTTTTGGACCAGGTATTAAGATGCTCATGAATAGAAACTCTCGTCGCATGCACATCTCCGGTGGCAGGTTATACGGTGTAAGAAAGACCGGCCACAATGAATATTGTCTCCCAGACATTCCAAATGGACTAAAACCATCAGTGCACAATCCAAGATACACATTCCGGCTATTGCTAGCGAAATGTGGATGTACATTGTTAAAATGTTTCCAGGCTCTTGCATCTGATGGATGAGTCATCTCTCCATCCTTCTGAGTGTGCTCGGCGTGCCATCTCATCCCTCCAGCAGTCTCCTCAGATTGGTACAACCTTTTCAATCTGTCTGTGATTGGTAGGTACCACATCCTTTGGTACGGTACTCTATTGCGCCCTCGACCTTGCGGTTTGAATCGTGGCTTCTTACAAAATCGACATTCTTCTAACTTCTGATCATCTCCCCAGTAAATCATGCAGTTGTCGATGCAAACGTCTATCATCTCCGAGGGCAACCCAAGACTATATACCAATTTCTGAATCTGATAATAAGATTCAGCAGACACATTGTCTTCTTGCAAATACTCTTTAAACAAGTCTGCCCATGCATCCATACAATTTTCAGGTAGATTGTGATCGGTTTTAATACTCATCATTCTAGCAGCCAACGACAATTTAGATAGACTTTCTCTACAACCACTGTAAATTGGCTCATTTGCAGCTTCTAACATTTGGTAAAACTTTTTTGCATCTAAGTTAGGTTCTTCAACTTCATCATCATCATGAGTTACAAATGCATCACCTACCATATCATGAACCCTATCACAATCTACCATTTGTTCCTCTTGGTGATGATCATAGCTATAACTACTGCTACCTTCATTACGCAAATGATCAACCGGTTCAACCTGATTACTACTGCTACCTTCATTC